TGGATGTTTGAATATGATAAAAAGGCTCTCGCTCGGCCAAGTTTGCAAACAGTAGTCTAACACTTTCTGTAATGAACCCTCTGTTGCTTTCTTATCTATTCCCCTCATTCTCTGCCCCCCCCCTCCCTCCCTCCCGCTCACTGCGGTGTTCTTGAGTAGAAGAACTCGTCTGGCTCTCATTAATGTCCTCGGCGTTCGTTTGGCTGTGTAACTCTCGTTCTCTCTCCCCGGCCTCTTACGGCTTCATCCCACATTCTGGCCCAGCCAAAAACCATCAGGCTTCAGCCACAATTACAGATTCTGTCATCAGACGTTTCGCAAACACACACATTCTGCAGAGGTGTGAGGTTTGGGCGATTTTTTGTGATCAGTTCCACCTTTTACTGGCTCTCACCCCTGCAGCTTTTTCAGAAAAAATGGACTTTGTTGTTCGACAATTACACAACATTTCAGTTATTGGTGTGAAACTGTGGAATGAATTGAATGATGAATTTAAGTCATGTCCTTTCTTGGTGAACTTTAAAAGAGCTTTAAAATGTAAAATGATCAAATCTTACGCTGTTATGTAGATCTATATATGTACTATGTACTTGAATCTGAATTTGAAGAAATCCTGGTAGGTTGTAAGGTAAAAAAATAGGGTAGGCAAGAATAAGCTTTGCTTCGGCCTATTCCTTTTTTGGTAAACTGTGGGTTTGTGTATTGTTTTTTTTTCTTTTTTTCCTTTTGTTGTTTCTTGTGTTTAATGTGGACAATTTACCAAAATAAAGCGAAGTGATTGATTGATTGACATTAATGAGCATTTGCTGCACCTGTAAATCGCAAAAAAAAAAATAGGATGTAGAGTCCCCTCCCTGCAGGACTTTTATTTTTATTCAGGAATATTTATTTATTTATTTATTTAATCAGGACAGTGCACATTAATGAACAATCTCATACAGATTGTAAATGAGCCAGATTCTAGCATAGTTGCTAATTTACATCTGTCGTCCTGAGGCAGGAAGACCAAACAACACAAAATCACAAAATACAAAATCAGTCCAAACACACGTTCAGACAATGACATTACAAAAATAAAATTAGTGATTGCATGTCTGGGAACTTTTGAGAAACAGTTTAAGGTGCAGAATAAGGCTCGGACAACTTAACCCAAAAGGTCTATAATCACATTCTTCTTTTATTTCAGGTTTATTAGGAGGCAGTGTTTAAAAAAACAAAAAACTTGAGATAAGGTTCCCTACAGTTTAGGCCCAACTGGCACAGGGCGATTACACAAGATTAAGTCCCCTCTGAACACTGATCAAAGTGTGTTCCTTTTTCTTAGAGTGGTATATTGGAAGCCATCCAGCATACATGGATGTGGATGCATTGTGTCCTGCACAGGGACGATAAGTTCTATCACACAGTAAAATCAGGTATTGTTCTTAGCAATAGCTTGCAAAGGCTGTGAATTGTCCCTACATCATATCAGCTTGAGCATGAATCTTTCATTTAGGCCTCTATCACAGCATCCCGAAAAACTAGGCAAAGTCATTACTGCTCTCACTTTTTCAATCCCTCGCTTCTTTTCATGTTCCGGGATCACTCCTTTATCCCTTGCTTTCTATTTTTCATCACATCTTTATCCTCATTCATACCCTCAAACACTCTTTAAACTTGAGGAAATGAGGCCCGCGTCTCTTGAAAAGGCGAGAAGGAAAAAAAAAAAAAAAAGAAAGAAAGAAAAAGGGAACTAGGTCTGGGGGTGATCACCAGAAAGTTTCTGACACGGAGAATCGCCCTTAAGCTGATGCTGAATGTTTCAGAGCAGGTCGGTCTCCCTTTTTTTTCTGAGAGGGATAAGACAGCTCTTGTGTTTGTGTGTCTGCCGGGGCTTTAGAGGTAGAAAGAGAGGCAGCTACCTCTCCTGCTCCCCCCCTCTCATCTCCTCACACTAATTAGAGGGAACGGGGTTTTAAATCTTGGCGGGGACACACATCCCGAGGCCGCGCAGGTAGGTGAGCGTAGTCATCCCTCATCAAAGCGCTTTATGAAGATCCTGTTTTTGTCTGAATGTGTCCGGAAACATAATTTCAGATCACCTTTTTATTAGAAGCAGACATGCTGGTGGAATTCAGTGTGACAGCCCTTATATGTGTGTATATGTGTGTGTGTGTGTGTGTGTGTGTGTGAGTGTTTGTTTTCAAGATATATCAGGACAATCATGTGAATACACACCATCAACATCAGGACGCGTAGAAATATGAGGACACTTTTCATGTCCTCATTTTTCTGAGCATACTAGAGTGTTCTAGAAGCCCCAAAATACCTCTAAACCAAATATCTCTATTGTCCTAAGAACCTTTGGAAAGCCACCTAAACATTTGTCCTATTTCTGTCATGTGTCCTTGTATATAATGAAAACACGTATGTGTGTGTGTGTGTGTGTGTGTGTGTGTGTGTGTGTGCAGGTGCAGTGTGGTAGAGAGACACCCCAGGCAATGATAAGGAAGGAGCTTAAGCGCCGGGCTCTCCAGGCCTAATCACAGCACCCATTTCAAAGGCGAGAATGCCAATTAAAACTGATAGGGCTCAATATGGGCTTTTGGGCTGCACACGTCCAAGAGCAACACGGCCAACATGAAAATCAATCCCCCTCCCCGTCTGCTGGTTAGGAGAAGTGGTTTCCCCGTCAGGAGCTTCTGATAAATACTCCGGCTCTATTAGGGGCAAAGGCGAGAGACTCACAGGGTCGCGAAGAAGACGACAGAGATTTACGAGTCCCCGCTAATCATTTGAGTGAAAAGTGGATCGGGAATGCGGCGCTCTGTGAACTCAACTTCTGAAAGTAGGCATAAAAAGTGAGAGAGGATATTTATGCGAGGGGAGGGGGGGATGAACCGCAAAGTGTCACGATCAGTCATTTAAACATTCCAAGCCATTATCATCCCACTTTAATTCAGTGTAATTAACATAAAAATATAATTTCGTGAATCCATTTGAAATAATAAGAGGACACACAATATATTTCACTTCTGCCAAGTTAAATGAGTAGTTTCCCATTTTTCCCCTCTCCCTAGTTTGAGATAAGTGACACATCTTTTATGTTTGTCCACCAAATGAGGAACAAGCATCAGAGCCTAACCTCAGCAAACCAGCTTGTGGGTCTTGCTACATTAACTATGACAAACATAAGAGTGGAAATGAGCTTTTTTTATCCAATGATTGGCACGAAAGCAAAAGAAAAGACAGACTACACCAGAAGGCTTGGGCAAAGACACGGCAAGTAACTTTTTCTAATTGTAATCACAATTAAAGCTGACACCTGTCAATCGCAAAGCAAAAACAGATCAAACAGTAGAATTTGAATAAAACAGAAATGGAGAAGGATTCATTAAAAGTTATAAAACATAATTCCAAAGGGGAACTCATTTTACAAATCCCCCAATTCCAAAAAGTTCTGGCGTGAGCGTCTGATAAACAAATTCGACACATGAGTTGTGCGTCTTTTCTAAGTGTCAGGGCAAAAAAAATCTCACGCGGGACGGGGTTGAGGGCTAACTCTCTAAAGTGAAATATTCAGGCCACACAGAAGCTGAATGTCAAAATGAGCATTGCTTGTCACCAATCACATGGTAAGCACTGTAGGTCACACTCTGCTGAGGCAATTTAATGTGATGCCCAATAACTGGCAACGTGTGTGTGCGCGCTTAAGTGTGTGGGGTCTAACATGGTCTGACAAGCTGATAACACATTTCGTGTCATATCGTTTTACATCATTAGCTGTTAAAGATTGATTGCCCTTTGTTCCCTGTCAAACAGCGTTGGCACTCTTGTTGCTTCTGTGGATGTTTTCCGGGTTCGAGTTAAAAAAGAGAAAGAGAAGAAGAAAAAAAACTGAGAGAATTTTGTTCAACATTGTTGAAAAGCTCAGGGCTTTCCTCTCCACAGATCAGATTGCGGCTGGATCCAATCCTCTCCCATAATGCTTTGAAGGCGGAAATTCTGGAAATACTCCAGGCGGTGGCTAAGAGACAAAGAAAAAAAAAAAAAATGATGGAAAAGAGTTGCCAAAACACTGAGCTTATGTGCAGTCTGTTCTTTTAAAAATGTCATTCTCAACCCTTTTGGCTAATTACTCTCAGTTCAGA